GGGTTGGGGGAGGGGAAGAGGGATTCGCGAAGAGAGAGAGAGAGAGAGAGAGAGGAGGGGGGGATTAAATAAAACATGAGTCGGCGTTGGGAAAAGTTGGCGGTGCAGTGGGCTTGCTTGCAGGCGTTAATAGACCCGGGGGCCGAAAAGGGTATAAAAGAGGTTCGAGAGAGAGGATGGGCAAACACCTGTAACACCGTGTTGTTCATGGCCTCACGTGCCCGGGCGTGGCCGTGACGAAGGTGGCGATGATCGCGCAAAAAGCAGTCGCTGCAAAAAGCCGATCAGCTCGTGCTGATCGAAAACTTGGAATATCCGTTGGAACGGAAGCGTTGAGGGGGAGAGGGGGAGTTCCAAAGCTTCGCCTTTACTTCGAGTTACGTAAGGTAAAATGGAGAATAATTTATCGAAGCGATAAATTTTTTGTTATCATTATTCTCTGGAGACCGTTCGAAAATATCGAATAATGAAACGAATAAATTCACCAACTGTCATTAATTGTCATCTTCTTGAAACGATTCTTGAAACGATATAGCGAAATAATAATAAAATCGTGCTTGTGCGCCTCTCGCGAGTTCCTCGCGGCTGTTTGATAATCAGCGATGATAGTCAGCGTGACTGAGCTGGATCCGCGCCCCCGGGTTCATCGATGCCCCGCTGACTATTTATCTTGTTGTACATCGAGGCGATTCGATTCTAACTCCGAGGGGATCAATGACGGCCTCCGCGACTTTCCGCCTTCTTGTTCCAGAGAGATGAGTAGCCAAGGTGGAATCCAATCTAAATCGGAGCCCTTTTGTTATTTCGAAATCGATTCAAACGAGTTGTTGGTTACGCTCCCCGTCACACCTGAAAAGGAAATTGTCGTTTATTGATTTTCTGATTCGTGAAATTGTGGACGATGGAAAAAAAGTCGAGTGAAGATGAGTGGGGGGGATTGTTGGAATTTAGAATTGAAATGGATTGGAGTTTGATTTGACGTCGTATCATAATTTGTAAGCAGACATTTCTTTCAAAG